CTCTACCGGCAATGCTAATGCAATGCTAAGGCGGTCTGCGAGGCCGCCTACTGCCACATACCTCCCAACGGCCGGTGAGATCCCACAGGGTGGGCCTCCTTCAGATGCTGTCAGCCAGACAATGTCGGCTGGCGGCTCCCCGGAGGAGAGCCTTCTCTGTGGCTGCCCCGACCCTTTGGAACGAACTACCCCCAGAAATCCGGACCTCACCCACTCTCATGGCCTTCAGAAAAGCTGTCAAGACCTGGCTTTTCCGGCAGGCCTGGGGCTGTTGACCTCATTGTTGAGATCCAGCCCCCGATTGAAATGAATGTATTTGTGTCGTTTTAACTTTTCTTATTTTATTTTTACTTTCTTTTATTTTCTTTCTCTTCCCTTCTGTAAGCCGCCCGGAATCCTTCGGGATTGGGCGGCCTATAAATAAAATCAAATTTACAAACTCTTAGCCACTGAGCCACTGCGTCCCCTAAAAGAAGAATTAGGGGTGACATAATAGCAGTGTTCCAGTATTTGAGGGGCTGTCCCAAAGAGGGGTGTGTGTGTCAAATTATTCTCCAAAGCACCAGAGAGCAGGACACAAAGCAATGGTTGGAAACTAATCAAGGGGAGAAGCAATCTGGAATTAAGGAGAAACTTGTGGGTGCTTCAACACCGGAGGTTTTTAAGAAGAGACTAGACAGCCACTTGTCTGAAATGGCATGCTTGAGCAGGAGGCTGGACTAGAAGACCTCCAAGATCCCTTCTAGCTCTTATTCATTCTATCCTAGCTCGGCCAGAAGCATTTTAAGAGTCCCCTGCCCGCCGCCCTTGACCGAGAGTGGCGAAAACTACGAAGCCCAGGGTCCTCTGCGGCTCTCTCCCCCTCCCCCTCCCTCTCCCCCCCCCCGCCAGAGCACGGGGAGGCGTGGTTGGATCTTGGGTGGAAGCGGGCGGAGGGGCGGGGGGAGAAAGAAGGATGGGTACAAAGCCCGCTGGTTGCATCTGCCAGAAATTACTTTCGTCCTCGGCGGCTCGGGGAGGCGATCTTGGCGGGCGGGCGAGCGGTGCGTTTTTGCAAAGGGCGCCGATGCTGCTGCTGTTGCCGCCGCCGCCGGTGCATGGGACGCGGGGCTGCAGGTCCGCTCCGTAAGCCTTGCGCCCGATCCCCCGGGGGAGCAGGTTTGCCTTCCCCGCCGTGGCCGAGAGCCAGGATCCCGGCTGCGTAGCGCCTTTCCTCCGCCCTGGAACTTTTCCCTGGCGTCTCGGCTTCCCCGCGCCTCTTTTGGATGCTTTTGCCAGCCTCTCCTCTTCTCCACCACCGGCCGCCGCCGGCGCTTTCTTCTCCCGGAGCGACAGCCTCCGCTGCTCCCGCCGCCGGGCTTGCTCCGCCCGAGGCAGCGCCATGCACACGGTGCAAAAGGACACTACCTTCACCAAGATCTTCGTCGGGGGGCTGCCCTACCACACCACCGACTCCTCGCTGAGGAAGTACTTCGAGGTCTTCGGGGACATCGACGAAGCCGTGGTCATTACCGACCGGCAGACGGGCAAATCCCGAGGATATGGTTTTGTAAGTGCGCGGGGCAGAGGGTGGAGCGGCACATCGCTCGCCGGGAGTCATTTCCCCTCGGGTGTCCCCGGAGCCGTCGGGACCGGCCCCGCAATCGCCAGACACTTGTAACAAAGGCTCCGGAGGAGCCTCGGACGACGTTACTGAGTCGCCTTTTCCCTGCCGGGTCCTGTACGGATGATTTGGGCTATATGACCCATCATCCCAAACTGGGCATATCGGGCTCGCTCCCTTTTGCACATCTCTACCACCTGCCCTTGGGGGGTGGGGGGGTGGGGAGAGAAACATTTG